TACACATCAGTGGGGACTGTCTACTACACTGTGATATAGATGTACCTACACATCAGTGGGGACTGTCTACTACACTGTGATATAGATGTACCTACACAACAGTGGGGGTCGTGTATTGTATTTATCATTGGCAAACATCCTAATATAGCGTTCGAACTGATGACTTGTGCTGTTTCAACAGAGAACAAATATATATCATTGTGAAGCCAATGTCTTTCCAGCGCGTTGAAGAACACTACTTGGGTGGGACAATGGGTCATGGTCATGGGTACATCTGGGGTAGATCTTATTATTTAAGAAAGGACACAGTGATGTTGAATTATTCCAGTGCTAGATAGTTATTTCAAGACGCATTATAAAATCGATATATTAAACAAATAGAAGGAATATTCAAATATTTGTCCAAAACTGAAAAAAGAAAGAACAGAACGGACGTAAACCAAAAGAAAAAAGCTTAAGATGTTTATTCGTGCACAATAACAGGTCTTCGACTGGTGTTACTAAGTATTTAGTCTCCCCGGGAGCCGACCAACGGGTAGTAGATACCACGTGTACAGTACTGGGATCGAACCGGGATCCCAGGTTCACTTCCCATGGGAACGAACTCTGGGATCGAACCTGGATTCCCAGGTTCGATAACTCGAGTGCTGTTCTAGACATATACTTTTTTTAATCTGAACAGAAATAATAAGTCTCTGTTTTTGACATTCTGAAGCTGTAACGAATTCGTTTTGTTTTAGAAAGCAGGATGAGACCTCGACACTTTAAGGGTTAACACATGTGACGTGGTATCACACACTATAGATTATGTGATTGAAATATCATTTTACCGCCATATTTGAGCCTGTTTTAAAATGTTGCATCCGTGCGCACCTCTGTTACTAGTACCCATTTACACTAATTCATAGATGTTCTCAACATTTCAATGTTCATATTGAGGAAAAGGTCCAAGCTTTCCTTTACTACCATGTGTTTATATAATCATACGAACAATGATTAAAACAACATTTCAAAAATTATAATTCTTATCGAGACAGTTCAAACAAATTTTGAAGTATATATAAACACATATATGAACCAATTTCAAATTGTCTTCTGTTTAACTATTACGACAAACATATAAACATGTTCAGCTATTAATCACGTGACTCGCGCATTCGTAACTCGAACTGTGACACACCGAACTATTATAGAATTTGACTCTCGTAATCATTTCTAAGTATCTTGTCTTTTCCATCAGTTTCCTTATTTTCCATCTACAACAACACTACAGCATTCTCTTGTATTAACAATCCCTAAGTAATTAGCGAACATGTCTTATCTACTTACAGAATTCCGGCCCAGTGGTCCAGGTCCAGCCTACAATTTAGACGGTGATCTGACACACAGAGGTCGTGTGACTGGGTCCTCCTACAGCCTGGGAGGAAGGCCAAAGACGCCGAGTAAGTGTAAGGGCGAAATCGATAAAATTTCGGGGAACAATAATGCTGGGTAATATTTTTAAAGTCAAGGTTTACCTGGAATGATGGTGTTTTTTTTTTTTTATTTGTTTTACAGAGCGACGTGACGTCAGTCCTGGCCCCGCGGCTTACAACACCGACAAGGCCCCACTCTGGGAGAAGAACTCTCCCAAGTACAGCCTGAGTCCCCGGACTTCTCCCAGACGTATCGATGTCACCCCTTCCCCCGGAGCATATTCCCTCCCCTCTATGATAGGACCTAGGGTCCCTGACAGGCAGGGAGGACCAGCTTCAAGTATACTAGGAAAAAACTCATATGGAGGATTTTCATCTGACTGGGCAAAATCGCCCGGTCCGGCTACATACGGGGCATATGATCCCGGTCTCACAAAGCACAGGGGACCTTCATATAGTCTAGGGGCGAAGGCGAAACCTATGCCCGACAAAGATAATTTCCCGGGACCCGGGAGATACAGCCCGGAAAAGGTGTCTGTCCACATGGAGAACAGTCCGCGGTATCCTATTGGTGTGCGCCACTCACAGTTCGCCATGCCCGTTATGCCTCTGGCCGATGTTCAGTGACCCTGTGGTGTTTTAATTGTCCTTATTTATTTTCCCTGACCTTGACATTTGACCAGCATCAGTGTTTTGGTTGGGGCGAGACGTTATTATATCAACAAGCAATCTGTGATACAAACATAGTCATTTATTACAACTCACGTGGAGAGGTTCCTGTGGTCGTGCTGCGCATGTCCTTATCGAGAGGATACTCGTCATATCTGCGCATGTTCAGAAGCATTCAGCATGCAATGCCTATGACATAGTTAAACGTGACCGAAACCATCCTATATTGCTGACCGTGGTCCTCTCCTCATTCAGAATTTTTGGATCTGAAGGTGATTATTTCGGTCCAACCGCATGTTCGTATTAAAACTTACTCCCTCTACTGATCGTCAACAAAAGGGAACGTGTTTCTCAGTGTAGCCACAATGCCCATTACAGTTTACACTGGTGTGAACTCTGGATACAGTTGTGTACCTACATCACATGTAACAATCATTTCGTTATAATAAACCGAATATATTACGTAATTGTCGACGAGTCCTCTTCTTTGTTACAAATGCTGAGGTATGTAGCCTTAAGGTGAAGCTTAGTTGGTATATTCTTCCCGCTCATCTTTATGCGATTGACTGTCTTCTTTACATTTATCAGCGTTAATTATTTGTTCAAAAGGAATGTCTTTTGTGTAACAGGTGTTAGTGTTATTAGACCAAGTTGACGGTTTCGTTAGGTATACAAGTCATACTATGTAGGTAATCTACATGTGCACGTGAAGCTACAGTGAACGGAAGCACTGAAGTGTACCACTGCAAAAACCAACACCGAAAGAATATTTGAAAGAAATCACAAAAATTAGATTATCTTCTCATAACTTTATTGTAGAAAAAGGGCGATATCAAAACATTGAGCGGAATCGCCGATTGTGTAATTTATGTAATTTAGATGATGTTTAAAATGAGTTTCGTTTTATTCTTAAATGCCCTTGTTATTCTGTTTTGCGAGCAAACTTTCGGGAAATCGTATTACATTAAAAAGTCAAGCATGTTTGAATTGATAGGGCTACTAAAAAAATACAAAAGAAATAACGAATTTAGGGAAATATAAAAAAAATGAAAATTCGAGAATAACTAAATTATCATAAATAGCTTAGTCGCACTCTCCAAACCTACTGTTTCTATTTGTAATTGTGTTGTGAGTGTTTGTAATGTTGTGTAATGTTATTTTTTATTTTGCGCTGTAAATATTGCACTTTTGTTACTTGTAACTGATGAGTCGAAAGTCTCAACGTAATAAAGAGCCGTTAGAGGTGGCTAATAGTGGGCCCCTTGAACAATCGAGGGTTATAGTTTAAATTCTGAATAGGGGATACCGAAGAACCAAAAATAAATCTTCTACACCCCCACCCCCATCCCGCACCCCACCCGTCCAGCACTGGTGCACCCAGTAGGCACTGAGGGGGATAACGCAGTAACTACGGTAATAGTTGTTGATTAATGTTGACAGCCACGTACAGATTATCATCAGATCACGTCATCAGATTTCGACTTATAACCAGAACATGGATCGATAGCTCCCGGGCCAACAGTTTTGGTATACCTTGCGCCGTTCGTCTGTTAACGTGTCTGTCTCCTGTCATTTTTATAGACGCATCTTGATAAAAGTTTTATTCCATGCAAATAGAGCTCGAGCGAGATTCTGTTTAAGTATTCCACGTACCTTTTAGCAGAGTTATGGCTTCTCATTCAGTTTCTTACCTAAACTTTTCTGGAACAGAACTTCCTTGATATTTCATCTTGCATTCACCAAATTGTAAAGGCAGAATGTTGATAACGAAATAGAGTTTCCCGTATTTATTCAGAGTTATGGTCCTTCATTCATACCCTTGGAAGATGAAAAAAGGGAGGCAATGCCTAGTTTTTAAATAGGTAAAGCCTAATTAGAGCTCCCTGTCTTATCCCGTCGGCTTGGAGGTATCCGACATGTTTTATCATATCATGATCTCGTAGAATTATTAGTTTTCCTCAGTAATATAGTGCAAATGTAATGGTGTCGGCTTCATTCCACTATTAGAAGGGTTCTTTATACGACATTTCGATATCCAGTGAGGCTATGAGGTATGTCATTTCATCAGTAAAAAGCTAAAACGTCAAACTAATTGCAACAGAATTTCCCCACGATTGATGGATATATGTGTAACAACATTAAAAGAAATCTAACTGGGGGATTGTTTTTTCATTACTCTTGGTATCAAGAAAACATACGACTTGTGATTTCGCCAAATTTGTAGTGCAATATCTGACTCTTGTGTAAAACTGAGTATGGGAAGTTAAAACTGAACTCCTGACTGTGAGCAATAAACATGGTTTTTTCTTCCGAATACTAAATAGTTAGCAGGCAACAATAACACGACAATTAATATGAAAGGTTTCTCCTCCACATACGATGTAGTCCACATTTGGGAAAAGTAGTTCTGTTGTTGAACTTCTAATTCATTGTACGGATTTTTACTATTTTGCAAAAGCTTTCCTTCTTTCATAAATCATACACAATAATTAGTCTGTTGTTCAAAATCATGGCCATTTTAATTTACTGTTCATTTATAATTGTACGATGGTGCGATGGAAAACGTGAAGGACGATAACACGTGTTACGTGACAGAAGCGGTGTAATTCTAAAGGTGTCTGGTTGCCAGGGGTATTATAATCAATGCTACAATAACAGGCTGCCTGTACACTGATACATCTATACATAAGTGAATCCACTTGTTTAGGGGGGAAACTGATACATAATTTAATTGTAGAATGTCTCAATTTTGTAATTATTTCGTGCGATTTTCCATCTTGAAAATTATCCTGAGACAGATACATTTTGTTGGTCTTCAAATTTATTTATTTTCCGCCGGAGGCTTCCGACAGATATTAATTTGAATATGTAATCAGAGCGCGACCAACAAAGAATGGGTTTTATAGGCTACCATTACTGGTCTTCCTGCCTCTGTTCATGTCTGACAATCAACCTCGGACAATAAACACGCCAACAAAATACAAACTAATAATGGTATGACCAGGACCACCCCAGGTCAGCCCCGGCCACCCCATGCCCACTTTGGCCCCCGCCCTGGCTCCGCGGGTTTCGCACGCTAACATTTGCGTGACTATGGGTCCCATATAGGGCACGCGCGTGTTGTAGAGGGTGTCCTGGACACGGGAGTACACACTCAAGAGAAGGATACATTCGGGACTAATGAAGGCTCGCTGTGACGTTCGACATGATATGTACCATATAACCTCGCGATATTCAACCAGATGGCTTCAGAACACTATCAACTTCACTATATGTTCTGCTTATGGAATAATTTTGAGGGAAAACACCGAGACATGACCTTCACGGGTATATTCAACTTCCAAGACGGCTTTATGGAAAGCTGGAAAACATCTCATGACTTTCATTTGAGAGATAATTTCAAAACCTTTGTCATCTAAAACTCTTTTACGCCATTATAGTATGACCTTGAACTTTATATCATGAGGCAAATAACATATCATGTCCTTTTATTTCGCGAAATGTATACCAAAAACCAGATAAGCATTTAATTAAAAGTGAAAAAGATCCTACTTCATCTCAGATTAACATTGGCAGGTGGTGGGGTGGGATAAGGGCTAGTAACAAACCTTTCAGAATTATTATTTGTGGTTTGATTTTAGATCTCAACTTGTATGCAGTAAAATTCAATCCGCAATCGCATGTCATATCATAAATAGGTTGCAAATAGTTCACCGAATTATAACAGGAAGTCACTATATTAACTTCCGGTTGTATTTACTACCTTGAGTCAAACAATTTCAATATGTTTCTAAATTGAGTCATAATCATTGTCTTATTAAGATTTGGTCCCCATTTAGCCCTAATAAGGAGGAAAAGGGTTAAGGGAGGCTTATAGAGATATACATTTCAGGGGGCTCATAGAGTCGCCTTAGAGTTATACATAATTCTCTAATGGAATATTCTAATTATTCCATAATAAGAGTTATACATAACTATAATAAGCTCATTGAGTTATACATCTCATGCGGCTCATAGAGGTATTTCAGTAGGCTCGAGTTTTTATATAACTCTCTGAAATACTTATACTTGCTTCACATAAAAAAATGTCTCAAACACAAACGACTTTTGAACTAACAAATCCAGCTCTACATACATTTGGTTACTGACTAAAATTTGTAACTGCCTTTGATACCAAAGCGAGATACGCATTCGCATTTTTACACGTTAAACGAGGCTGCGTCATGGCGGACATTATGGCACTTTTTCGGCATTAGAGTACATTCTTGGGCCATTACTTTTAGCATAGGTCATATATCATGTCAATACCATATTACACAAGTTATTTTCTGGAGCGTTCGGAATAACATCAACGAACCAATAATACAATATTTCATAGTAATATAGAGCATTGTCTTACGTACAGCAGTACCAGTATCTCCTAACCACCCTGTTGTCAGTGTATACAAACGGAGAAATTGTTATTTTCACGAATATCTAACAAATGTTGTCCATGTGATAAACAGAATATTTCATTCGATTCCATGCCATTTGAGACTTATAAAACTCGTCACGATTTTACGTGGCCGTGAGAAGCTTGCCAGAGGCTCGCTAAAATCGGTAATTCTTTTACTCGTTTCTTCATTCAGATATAACTGGACACTCGTGAACGTCTCTCTCTTTATATATGTTTTATGATACAGGCTGTATTAGCTGTATACATCATGATCTGTATAATGTTATAATTGCTGGTTAGCTATATGTTCAATGCCAGTAAATAACCTTGATCTTGAGCGCCATCTTATTGAACAGTTCTAAGTACGTTTTCCTCTTAGAAATAACAATCTACTGAAATGTTTTCTCTATTCAACAAACGAGTCTCTTGTACCCTTCACAGCGAGGTCCTGGAACAAAATAAACACACATTCTAAACCTTCACAGCGAGGTCCTGGAACAAAATAAACACACGATCAAAACCTTCACAGCGAGGTCCTGGAACAAAATAAACACACTATCAAAACCTTCACAGCGAGGTCCTGGAACAAAATAAACACACGATCAAAACCTTCACAGCAAGGCTCTGGAACAAAATAAACACACGATCAAAACCTTCACAGTAAAGCCCGGAACAAAATAAAAACACGATCAAAACCTTCACAGTAAGGCCCGGAACAAAATAAACACACGATCAAACCCTTCACAGTAAAGCCCGGAACAAAATAAACACACGATCAAATCCTTCACAGCAAGGCCCGGGACAAAATAAACACACGATCAAACCCTTCACAGCGAGGTCCTGGAACAAAATAACCACACATTCCAAACCTTCACAGCGAGGTCCTGGAACAAGATAAACACACATTCTAAACCTTCACAACGAAGTCCTGGAACAAAATAAACACCCGAACAAAACCTTCACAGCAAGGCCGGGAACAAAATAAACACACGATCAAACCCTTCACAGTAAAGCCCGGAACAAAATAAACAC